GGGGGGGGAGAGATATGCCTGGCACCAGCCCCCTGGTGCCCAGAACATCCACTCACAAGGGAGCCCTCTGGTTGTGGTTGCTAAAAGCCCTGGGGGTGGCACAGCAGGGCTAAGGCTGCTGGAAACAGACAGCACCTCCCTGCAGCCCCTAGGCAGGGGCACAGCTTGGCACCTCCACGGGCTACCCTGCAAGTGCCCTTCCTCCCCAAAAATGGAAAGAGCCTAGACCCCAGGAGCTGGGGAGCAGCCTGCTCGCTCCTAGGAGCCACCTGCTTGTTCAAGGGGTGGGAGGTTTTGTATCTGTGTTGGCCGACCAGGAATGCTTTTGGGTGGGCCCAGTGCCTGTGAGGCTGCAGAGCCAGGCCCTGGCACAGGCAGGGGGCTCCATGGGGGGGGCTGCAAAGGGAAAGCTCAGTTCAAAGCTTGAAACTCTCATCCCCCCTAACCCCATCAGACCCCATTGGAGTTGTGCCCCCAGCCAGAAACAGACCTGTGTGCGCACACCTGCTTGATGAACTGTCCTTACCTTGAAGTGCCCTCACCCTGCAAGCTTCAGCGCCACAGCCACGTGGCCTGTTTGTTTGCAGGGAGGGCCATGGGCCAGGAACAAATGCTGCAAGGACCTGCCTTGGGGGCAGGATGTGCATGTTGGCTAGTGCCTAGCGGTGCAGTGTCAGTCCTGGCTCCACAGCAAGGGGGCAAGATCTGCAGCACCGCCTCACACAGCAAAGCCCTCCTGGAAGCAGGGAACTGGGTGGAAAAAAAGTCACCCTAGCTGGGCCAGGTCCTTTCCAGCCTGAAGGGCGAGTGGGAGCTGGGGAGGAGGCAGCAGGAGACATACTATCTGGCTCCAGGTCAGAGCTGCTCTAGGCAAAGCCAGGGCACGGACCCAGATCAGGACATGCTCCAAGCACAAAGGCCAAGAGCCCCCTGGTTTGTTTCTAGCTCTGTGAAGCTGGGCCCTGGGGCAGAGCTCCTCCCTGCAGGCTGTCAGGCACCCAGAGCTCCCCAAGACCATGACCCCCCTTGAGGTACAGCTGCAGGCCCTATGGGATGAATGTCACCCAGTCACTTTGGGGGCAGGTAATCGTCTGAGCGCAGCAAACAGCCACTCATGCACCCAGCATGGCCTTGGTGCCTTCCTCACCCTTCAGCATAACACTGAGTGACGGACATGCTGAGTCCCTGCTTTCCTGCCCTGCATCCCCCCATCCTTCCACGCTGGAGCCAAGAGCAGGAGCAGGCTCACCGGACAAACTTGCTGTCCTCTGCTGGATGCAGCCAGCTCTGTGTGAGGAACAACTCGGCTTGCAGCAGCTGGAGCAACTTGCCAGGTGTCTGGCTCAGGCCCACTCAGGCTTGGGGCTCTAGGAGCTACCATGAGTGGCGGCAGAAACCTGCTAAAGGACCATTTGCTAAGCCTGCTCGACCTCCTAGCGCCCTTGTCCCAGAGATCACTGGGCCGGGCACCTTCCTGTCCTAAGAGCCCAGCGCACCAGCTCTGAGCTCAGGCACCTCCATGGAGCAGCCAGGCTGTCCTGGGAGGGGCCGCTGCAGGCAGGATTCCTGTCCAGCCTCACCCTGCTGAAGGATGCAGAGGGACGGACAGCAGGGGTAGGACAAAGTTGCTCAGACCCGCCGCTGAGAAAACCTTTTAAATACAAAGATGGTGACAAGTATCTCCAAGAAAATGTAGGAAGCCAGTTTGTTCTAGCACAACCCCCCCTCTGAAGCAGTGGTGTATTCACTTCCCCCAGCATCTCCATGGGGAACGTGCCTGCCCTGAACTCACCCACAAAACAGCCTTCACTTGGTTTTCTGCAAAATCCACTGGGTCCACATTAAAAGAGCTTTATTTTTTAGAAGTTTTCCTTTTGTTTGTTTAGACAACATGATCTTTAGCGCCACTGTGTTATGATACACTGTCCTATTTCAACATGCCATATAGATTCTGAATAAATAAAGCTACAAAGCCCAAGTTCTGTACAAATATCTTAGGCAAAGATATTATGTTTACAAACCTATATACAATAAAACAAATGTAAACAGTCAAATGCAGCGCAGGATGCACAGGGAACGGGACTTACAAACCCCTGCGAGTAAGTGGTGATTCTCCTCCCCTCCTTCCCTTCCATTTGGGAACCCAGTTTTACACTTGCCATTTGTAAAGAAACCACATGGCTCCTACGGATGAAATTGACAAAGCCAAATGAAGTGGGATGGACTAGACTGGAGAGGAAGATTTTTAAACCCACAGACAAAACCACTGGCAGTTTCGCGTGTCCTTTTTAAAAATCCAACAACTTTGAGGCACACAGAGAGACAGCGAAATCGCACAAACACACCGCTCTGCAGACCCACAAGGTACAGGTGGCCCAAAACTGTCACCCAAGCCCGTCGGTGGCACTGTGCAGTCCAGTCAGTCCATATTACACTGGCTAAACGCTCACACTTTAGGGGGCCAATGGCATGGACAGATCGGTGACGTCTCAATCTCAGGAGCAAGGCTCTTTAGTGGCAGGAACATTTCACTAATGTTCAAGGCGAGCTAAAGTCACTGAGGCCAGGGCACTTGTCCAATGGGATTATCACAACTAACCCTGTACCTGGAAAATGGTTCCCTCCACACGGACACTGCGGTGGCTGCTAGGGGAGGAGGCGTAAGTACAGGCAGCCATCGTGAAGGGCAGAGATCAGCTGTGGGTTAGTGAGACCCCCTGCATCCCGTGAGACAGACACCGCACGAATCAGCTTGTGTGACCCACAACAGAGTGCAACCACGTTAGAGAACGTCCACTACAGCAATAGGAGAAAATAAACTGTATTGACAGTGAGTGAAGGACTGCGTGTGCTGGGGCTCCTCCAGGCCGCGGGCTGGCTCCAGCGCTGCTCCACGCCGCGCTGCAGGCCGGTTCCAGCAGGGGGCGCTAACAGAAGGACTCAGAAGCAGTTCAGTCCTCCTGGCTGGTCACACGCTCAGAGGAAGCATGCCTGGCGCCGAAGAGGGTCTGGAGGATCCTATGCCTGGAGGGGGGCCTTGGTCAAAGCCGTTTACTGTCCTGCAGAGCGAAAAGACGAGAATACCTGGTAAACGAGGGACCACGGCACTGTGGCCAACGTACCTGCATCCCCACCCGGCACAGCACCTGGGGGGCCTGACTCCTTGCAGCTGCCTCCCTCGCCATGCTCAGGACAACGAGGGGCTGCAGGCCAGGTCCGGAGCTGGCCGGCGAAGGCAGGAGCATGGGGCATTCTGCAAGCCAGGACCTCCCTGGCGCTCAGCCCTCACTTTGGCACGTGCTCCCGAGCGCCAAGCCTCAATGGGCCGACTCACGTTTGCACACGGACCCGTCCTGCCCTGAGCAGACACAGGAGCTGCTGCCAGCCAGCTGGGCACCTGCCAGCATTCTGAGACTCTCCTGGCCCAGCAGGAGCAAGCGCCATCCCGCGGTTAACAGACGCCCAGGCACACTCACTGGGCCACCTCCCCCCACCGAGGGATCTGTCCATCCCTCCCTGGAGCCAGCAGGCCAGGGCAGCTCAGGCCCGTAGACAGAGCTGCCCCTTGCCTGAGCTCTCGCTGCCAGATTCTTATTTCCCCAACTGCCGAGATACAGCGGGCATTTCCTAAGGAGCACTGGGTTCAAGGGTCCATGTAACAGATCTGGTGCCCCAGGTCTATGTGCTGCCCGCCATGACCACCCCAAAATGCACAGAGCGGGAGCGTGCGCACGCACACACACACACACCCCACCCCACCCAGTTGGGCCATGCTGTTAAAAGGGCAGATGCTGGCTACCGTGCGCAAACTCTTCTTGGCTGGGGCTCCACTATGGAGACAGGGCAGGATGTGAAAAGACCTGCCTGCATAACCCTTGAATTCTGACAAGCCAGGGTGTAATCCGCCCTTCTCCAGCCTGCCGCACACGGACTGTCCCTGCCTGCCACTCACTGAGCGTTATTCCATCCTCTTCGAAGCGGGGAAGGCCGGGGGACTGGTGAGTGTGGAGCAGGGTCACCCCGTCGGTCAGAAGCCGGCCCTGCAGAGAGGCCGCTCCGGGCACTGCGTGGTGTTTGTGCAGACAAGCCCAATGGTGCCGGGGGCTAATACGCTGGGGCTTCCTGCTGCAAAGCCGACACCGGCAGGGACGTGGGAAGACGCATTCCTTGGGCGTGTCCGTAAACAGCACGGAGGCTTCCCATGCGAACTGCTCCAGGCTGACACGTGCCCTGGATGTGGCTTTGATTTGCCAGATCTCTCCTCGTTTGCGTCTCCATCAACGTATGGCATTTGACTGAGGTTCTACGTGGAGCTCCTGGTCCCATTTACACATCATCCGGAAAGCAGCAAATATTTCACTGGGGCTAACCCCGCAACGTCTTGCTCCAGCTACGGGATTCGTAGCATCTGCGCCCCTCGCTGCCTTTCCTGGGCTCATTCTCGTCCCCAGGAAACAGGGCAATGGGACTAGCCCCACTACCAAGAGGGAACGGAGCTTGTCCAGGTCACACAGGAAATCCGGCAGCTTTCCTGTCTTAGCGCTGGGAGAGGATCGCTGGTCGGCACAGGGACTCCACCTCCCCGCAGGTGGGAGAATTCCTGTCGGCCGAGGGCCGTCTACACAGGGCGAGGGAGGGTCGACACTCGCTCCTGCACCTGGGCTGTTTGCACCCCTGCTGGTGCGGTTTTAGTGACCTCCTCTCCCAGTGCAGACCTGGCCGGGGCAGGGCGGAAGCTGGGACTCTGTGCCAGGCTAGAGCATGCTGGACCATCTCCTCTCCAGAGCCCCAGGCCACTCCAGGCCGGGCTGTGGGACCGAGGCTGAAGATCCTGGGGGTTCACTGGCAATGGCAGCTTCTGGAAGGCGCCACTGAGGACCGGCCCAGCGCTGTCCGGGGGGGGGGGGGGAC